ATTCTTAGGAAGAAGAAAGATACCATATTGCGAGAGAACGTTCCATGAAATTGGCAAACATTAAAACTCGATTTCGCTATCGTATCTCCAAGGAGGGACGGAGGGGGGGGGTAGCGGAAACCACTATAACAATGAGCAAAGTTGTTCAAAGGGACTAATTCGCGATAACTTAATCGCCATTTTATCTTACTGAAGGTCCACCAAGCTATTAAATTCTCGTTTTCATTTTATTTCATTAAAGTGTATCGATATTGGACAAACAAGCAAATGAATTTCAAACAAGTGAAATTTCTTTTCCTACGTGTTTTCTAATATTAATATCAATAAAAGGTGTCGTTTGTTTGAAAATTCGAAGCTTAGAACTTCAATGTCGACCATAGTAATTAAAGATTCTATCGTGTGTAGAATGTTCTCTCTCTTTCTCTCTCTTTCTCTCTCTCTCTCTCGCTCTCTTTGTCTCTCTCTTTCTCTCTTTTGCACTCTAGTCCACTCCTTGGGGTTTCAATGTACCTACTCCACATATACGTCAGCTACCATTGGTTTATTCCCTAGCGTCTATTGTTACCCCTTTCCTTCTCTCTCTCTCTCTCTCTCTCTCTCTCTCTCTCTATCTCTGTTTCTGTCTCTGTCTCTTAGGTTCTCTTACATGCTCTTATCTATTCGCTATAGTACCGACTAAAGCTTCGCAGTTCGGGACGTAACTTTAACCAACTTCGCTGATTTACAAAACAGACATCCTTTTCGTAAAGTGTAAACTGAGAAGGAGGAGATAGGGAGAGGATGGGAGAAATCCAAAAGCCGTGTATGCGAAGTGCTAGAGAAAAGGCGAATAGAAGGGGATAGTGTATAAGAGAATAAGAGAGAGAAAGACAGAGAGAGAAAGAGAGAGAGAGAGAGAAGCTTTCTCAACAACACATTGTTTGCACCGAGCTTCCAGCTGAGTGTGAGCGTACTATAGTCCTCGTATATTGTGTCCACTAAAGAGTGGGAGAGAGTAGTCGTCGTCATCATCGTCATCGTTGTCTTCGTCATCCTCGTCGTCATCGTCACGTCTACGTTCCGCATTCGTGTGATACACTTTCTCGCCTTAGATCTTTCGTCTACCTTTTTTTCAGATATACGGAAAGAGCTACCAGACACTTTTGTGCAGGCACTCACAAAAGAACTCTCTGACATATCCGAAGAGGAGTCGACAACACGTAACCTGCTGAACATTTTCCTTCCGGTGTTTAAATAATACAGAATAATGACGATTAGCTGAAAAATCAGGAAAAATGGTCGATCTTAATAAATGAAAAAATTTCATCTCCGTATTAATTCTGTTGTAGAAATTTATTATCATAAATAATTGTTACGATGTTGTCCATCTTCTTTTCTCTCTCTATCTTTCTGGAAATTATTTCGTTCATTTTATTATAATTTTTGTTGTTTATTAATATTGTATCACGGTCGAAACTTTGTTAATATTTATCCATCTATTTCTTTTATGTTTCGTTCAGATCACTCCGTTTGCCGTATCCTTCAACTCGATTGGTTGGATTACGAAAGAGACAGGAAAAATTTCGGTAAGGGGATTTCCAAGTACCATATTCGCGAAATCGACCTTACCAAGGATTTTCTCTTTTCTTTTCTTCTCTTCTCTCTGTCTCTCCATTCTACTTCGTGACGCGAGTTACAAAAGTGAACATTCGGCAAGAATCGGTGCCGTTGTAGTTTCCACTTCTATAGATAGAGAAACTGTTCGACCACGTCGTAATCGGACAATTTTACGAAGAAAGACAGTGTAGTAAGGTTCGCAGTTACGAACCTGAAGAAGCTACCTTTAAACCTTAGACAATGGTTGTTGACCGGTGGTACTGTCTTAACTGGCCGTTTACATAGGACAAAACTCTAGGTTAGAACTTTGAACTCCCAACGATGGCCTAGATTTACTTTAAATCCTCGTAAACACTGCAGTAAATACGTGATCAGGAAATTGTGAAAAATTTATTGAAGGAAAATCGAATGAAAATTGGACCTACCAGTTTCATCGGACCTACCAATAATTTACCTTAAGATCGTCCTTTTGTTGAATGGATAATTGCATTACTAGTGTTCTGCGAGAGTAGCTGACAGTACACGCTTCTATTACAAGGGAAACGGTATCTGATTGAATTCACCAGCGTGACCATTTGCAATGGCTCAGTGGATTATGTCCGGACTGATTCATCCTGGTACACACAACCGATGTCATAACTGGTGACACGAGGTTTCGGGCATGAATAGAGTTGTCCTCGAGTGTCCTGGCCAGCAGTGCCGGACCAATCTCAATCGGGCCTAATCGTACCCATATCCACAGGAACCCATCTCTGGACTCGGTATTACCTGAAGTGTCAGATTCACAATTGGCTCCTTGTCAGAGTTTGGACTTGTACGTGTAATTACATAGTAATGGGTTATTCGCATTTTAGCCGACGTTCCATTCCTACGACATTTTGTCTGTCCTATGACGGTGATTAAAAGTGAATTCTCAGTGCTTGAGATATCACTTAACATTTTCCCTTGAAACAAAACTGACTTTGCAGTCTTGTTAAACGTCGTACTTTTGTATCGTCCTTCTTCGTTTTCTTTATTTTCTTTTTCTTCTTTTAAATGAATTAATTCGAACAAGTGAATTTTATAATATAATGTAATATCATGTATGATATTATTTTCTGATCTTTAAAATCTTATAATTCCTTATCAAGTCTAATTTTTTAATTATTTTATCATTTACTTTTGACTGAAATGGAAATCATTTTGAAATATTGAATGAATTATTTTAATCTTTACGTGTAATATTAGTTCACATTAATAGGAAGGAGAATTAAGAATGATTTCCAATCATATTTTAATGATAAAATCCGATCATTTGATCCGTAACTGTTGGAAAAGTTTATGGTCGAGATAAGCCCAGTATACAAGCAACGATCTTTCGGCACGTTTCGATTCTCGGCGACTTTACGCCATCGTAAAAGCAAAAGGCGATATCGAAATCGTTCTCAAGTTGCTTCGTGCATCCCTCTTTGGATATTTCCTCCCCTCTAACCTTTTTCGTTCTTTTCTCCCCTTTTTTTTTTATATCTTAAATAAAACCCTTCTTCCAAGATTTTATGAGCATAAAAAAGAAAAAAAAAATAAAAACCGATAGTCAACATCGCATAAAAATAAATGCTTTACTCAGCAGATTATTCAATATTATTTAAAAAAAAAAAAAGAAAAAAAGAAAAAAAGAAGAAAAACCGTTCGAAATAACAGTAATTACGAATGGAAAGGATCGGATTTTTGAAGCAGAATCATGACATTCGTGTTATTTTTTTTTTTCTTTTCCCTTTTTTGCGTACGTAAGCGCCTCGACGGAGGCACCTGCGTGGAAACGTTTTTTGGATGGGGTTGAAGAGGATGAAAGCGGGGTTTGGTTGATATCCAACGTCGTCATCCGTGGCGAATATGAAATGCAACACATGCGAGACATCCCAGAGAAGTAGTACGTATGTAAATGGAGGACAGTGTTGGAAGGGTTGTTGAAGAATCGGTGGGGATGGTTTGGTCGAAGGGGGTGCTCCAGAAAGAAGGGGTGGTGTGTTGCGTCGGTAGAAAACTGCCGCTTGGTGGACGGGGCTGATGCATGGGCTTTGTACGTGAGGATTCCTGTGAGAGATCGCTGGTATTTCTTCTATCTCATATATTATGAGTTTTATGTTCGCCCGTCAGAACATTTATTTGTTTGACTTTTCCGCCAAGAAAGGCAACTTTTTACTTCGGCCACCGTCTGCCTACACCTACAAACTCTACACGAGAATTATTCCACGCGTATTTGATATCGCGGCTGAAATCGTGCCGCGGATGAGTATCGCAAGCGATAAAAGCGACTGAAAAATTGAAGAGAATTTGTATCGCGAAAGAAAGAATGAGAGAGAAAGAGAGAGAGAGAGAGGGAGAGAGAGAGAGAAAAGGTGTTACCGGAGATATCTACGACAATAATCTCGATCAACACGCGCTGCTATTTATTTTATAATTCCGTTTTTTTTTGTCTTTTCTCTCTTCTTTTTTTGTCTTTTTTATTCTCCCTTTTTCTATTTTCTTTTCTCGTTGAATTAATAAACGCTTGGAAAATCATATGTCTTTAAATATGATCTAAAGATATTTTCTGTTTTCTTTTTCTTTCTTTTTTCTTTTTTTTTTATTCTCTTCTTTTTAAAACATCACTTTGACATTTTCAAAAAAAGATTTTACATTATCGAATTACTTATAATAAATCATTAATGAAAAATTTATTTGCAGCAAGTATAAATAGAATAATAATGATTATTATTAGAGTGTAACGAAAAAAAAAAAAAAGAGAAAAAAAAGAAGAAAAAAGGAAAAGAAGAGAATCAAATTGTGACATTTCATAATGAATATTATAGAGAAAAGTTGTCATTAAAGATTTATTGTCTCACGAGAACATTAGAGATCTTCCTAATTAATAATGATGTTAAAAATGTATGATGTGTTCATTACAATGACAATGGAATTACGTTTTAAAAGGCACCGATTACAAGTACGTCAGTATCGCACGTCAACCAAAATACAGTGATTCGCTATAAAATCGAATACCGTCCTTTATACGAGCGTATTTATGTCCCGCCTGACGTGTATTATCTTTTAAAGCTATCGGGTGAGCGAGCTATTGAATTTACCGTTTAATATGCATGCGATCGCCCGTAAAAGTTGGCAATGACGGCTGCTCGCTACATACGTATACATAGATATGTGTCACGAATCAAAAATATCTACGCTTTAACGCACCGATCGTTTCAAAATTGTATATTCGATCATACGATCACCGATTTCTACTATCACCGTCAAAAATTTTCTTAATTAACGAGAATTATTCCATGTTAATACATAAGATCTTTTTAAAAATCAATATTTTCCTTAATTCATATCATGACATTTTCGATTAAATTTTTTACAAAATTTTTTTTTCTCTCTCTCTCTCTTCATTTTTCGATCAAACTCGATTATTTTCAATCAAAAAGGACAATTACATGAAATATTTCCGATTACTCTGAATATCTTTTTTTTTTTTTTTTTATAGTCGACTTCGTAGTCAAAGTTCAAGTTTTACCTGCATTAGCAGGTCAAAGATTTTTTCTATTTGGTTCGTATCACGTACTATACGTATTCCTTGTCGAGAAATGTGTTAAAATCGGAACACATCAAAAAATTAAACCACTTGTTTCCATGCGCGGATATATCCGTGAACCCACAACTATCCTTTATCACTGAGTGCGGATATATCCGCGAGTCCGCGATTATTTTTCGTTGTTTGCGATGTATCAATTGTTTTAAAAAGTATAATTCTATTGTATATATAAACTGCACTTATGACCGACTTCGCGCGGTGATAGGGGGCCGATCATCAATTGAACATTGCTGATTTTTAAATAAACGGCACATTAAGTAGACGCATGATGCAAATGGATTAAAAAAGAAAAAGAGAAAAGAAAAACAAAAAAAGAAAAAAGAAAAAAACATTAAAAGAAACATATTCTAAAACGCCGCTAACCTCATTTCTTCTCGTCGAATAAAATATCATTTTTTAATGATCAAAAGGATTATCACATGTGTTCATTATTGTCTCTTCCCTGTCATCCTTCCTCACATTTTCTACCCTTTTTTCGGAGAAAAGGGTATCGACCCCTTTAAATATATACCTACTTTTTTTTTCTATTCTCGAAATGTGTCATTTACGATGTTCCCGGTGGCGATGGTGTTAGTGGTAGGTTGAATAGGTTTGAAGGAAGGCTCTCCTTGGTCGGCTCTGAATGTAAATAACTGATAAAGCTTGTAAAGGAGACGGGACGACGAGGCTAGCATCGGCTTTAGTCCGCCTTTGGGTAAACACAGCGAGCCAGTCTGATAACATCTTAACTCATTGGGGCGACGTCAAGAGCATGGGGCCCTTCCTCTCTGTCCTTCTTTTTCTCCATCTTCTTTCTCCTCGTTCTTTTCTTCTTCTTCTTCTTCTTCTTCTTCTTCTTCTTCTTCTTCTTCTTCCTCCGCCTCTTTCTCTTCTTCTTCTTCTTCTTTGTCTTCTTTTCACCACTGCTTATGGAAGGCATAGATGAACAACGATAACAAAGGATCCTTGGTGCTCGTTGTGAAACATGTTAGAAGTTATCCAACAATAACTCACACATGATTGTTCCTTGTGTCCAAAGAAATAAAAATAAGAGGTTAACGAGGACGATGTTGATGATGCAAAAATATTTTCCATTTCTGTCTGCTTCTCTCTCTCTCTCTCTTTCTTTCTATCTATCTATCTATCCATTCCTTTCTGTTTATTATCTCATATTATTTTTCTAAACAACTTGAAATTGGAAAAGTTAGAAAATTAACACGAAGGATAAAAAAGAGGATGATTTGGATGAAAACTTCATCCCTTACGAAATAATAAATTCACTTGATAATTTCCATTTCATAATCAGAAATAGCAAAAAAGAGATTTTTCTCTTTCTATCTTTTTCTCATCTCTATCTATCTAATGTCTCTCGTATCTCCGGACTGAAATTCCAATGTTTCTGCTTCGTGTAAGAGCGTCTACTCGTCTTGCCCAGTTTTCAGAGCGTGCGCCCTTAATCCTTCAGTGGACGCGTCCGTATTTCGTGGATTTCGAGGAACGAGACAGAGAGAGAGAGAGAGAGAGAGAGAGAGAGAGAGAGAGAGAGAGGGAGGGAGCGATGGAAAAGTAGAAAGAGAGAGAGAGAGCGAAAAAGATAAAAGGTTTTCAGCGGCGCTTTAGTTTATCTTAAGGTTAATTTACATGATGGATGTCCGTTAAAGCGTAAAGCGGAGAGAAAAAGAGAGAAAGAGAGAGACAGATAGAGACAGACACATATTTATACACACATACATACACACAGACACATATACATATAGATACAGGTCAACGTTAATACAACGCTCAACTGCTGCATAGTAGGAAATCTGTAATAGGAATGGCCTGAAAAGTAAGTCCGAAAGGTAGGAAAAAGAAAAAGAAATGGAAAGAGTAGCTGTGAAGAGAACGAGGAGGGAATCTCTGAGAGAAAGGGAAAGAGCTTGAGAAAAGTAAGGACGGAGTGGATAGAGAACTTGAAAACTACGGGGTTTCAACAGCAATTAAAGTAAAATTATACAGAAGTGCATCCAGAGTTGCGCGTCTCGCGCGTCACCCAGCTGAGAAACAACTGGCTGTACTGAGTAAGAGAAAGACTTGCCTTCTCGTGGATGGAAGAGAGACTGGACAGAGTGTGTGTGTGAGAAAGAGAGAGAGAGAGAGAGAGAGAGAGAGAGAGAGAGAGAGAAAGAGGTCCTTCTCTGTCTCATTTTCTAACGTACATAGCACACTCACGAGAGTCTCGCCAACGAGATCTCTCATATTTAATGACCCAGTTGGGTTGCCTCCGGCGGCAAGCTAAAGGCGCTGAATTTTAACACTCTCGCGGACTCGCTGTTGGTCGCGTTACGAGAAAGAGACTTTTGAGATCTCTAGCGTGTAACGAAGAGTCCCAAGTTCTTTCCATTTTCGTTCATTCGTCTTTTTATTTCTCGCATCGTTATGATATATTGATAAATGAAAAAAATTTTTAACAAATTAATTTCGATTGTATTCCAATTTATTTTCATTATTTTAATTATCGACATCGCGTAATTTAATTTTAAACTTTATATTAATCATCACATTTTATCGATATTATATATTATAAGATATATCGTATAAAAGGAAGGAAAATATTGTATATTATGTATCTGATAAAAATAACTTTCTCTCTCACTCTCTCTCCCTCTCTCTTTCTCAGTTTGTGCATCCTTTTTATGTGTAGGCTCGACTTTAAAACTCTAGTGGATTCTATTTTAAGGAATACAAAATGAGAGTTAATTAATATTCACCTTTATTATCCTTAAAATAGCCTTCAAGATTTATTCCAGTTTCATGGACACAATGATTCTATTGTGAGGAAGAACGTCGAGCAAGTGGTTCTCCATATTTGAATACCGTTTTCGAATTATTTCATCAGACTGGAGAAGGTTCATTGGGTTTTAGCGACGCTTCTCGCTTCCTCATGAACGTAAACTTGTAGACCTTTGGGAATAGCTTCGTTATTTTGTCGACTTATCCTCATTGTAAATTACTGCAACACGAAGTCAACTTGATTATTTGATGTTCTAAATAATGTTCTAAATAATATTTTAAATAATAAAGAGAACTTTAGAGTATAAAAAAAATATATATATATAATATATAATATAATATAAATATAATAAATGACATCTTATTAGCACGTATAATTTCTTTTGAAAAATTTATTCAAAGGAAAATTTAAGAAATCATAATCCGCAGGATAATTTTTCCCAAACGTATGATTATTATCATTCTTTTGTATTTTAAATAATACAAACGAATGAGAAATACACAGTTTTGGTCTCTCTTAAAACTTTCGAACGTGTTCCGTTTGAAAACGCGCACGACATCGCCACAGATTCTGATATTGGATCTTATTTCAATATTGACCGTGCAACGAGCTAATGCAAGCACGACTACGTGGTACGCCAGTAAATTACGCCTCGTACAGTTCTCTTCGACCGGTTTTCCAATAGGTACCATTAGAAATTCTTCCCATACAATTCATTTTGCGACTTTTCACTTTCCCTCAAATTTCTAATTTGATTTGACTCATCGCATTGTGTTTCGTTTTTCTTTCTGCTTTTTTCTCTTTTATTTACGATCGCCATAATAATCAATTATCTTCGGGCAATTCAATTTATTCATGATACGGAATATTATTTGGAAAATTTTAAAAATCAATTTCGATATCAAAACACGATAACGTACTATACTAATCGTATAAGCTTACTAAAACATGGCAGGTACCAACGAGATCGCAGATTTTGTAGGGAGTCGAGTGTACAATTTCTATAACAAATAAGGCGTATTATTTATTTGGACACTCAAAGTGTCAGCGGTAAAGCCAAGTCTCGTGCCGACGTTAATGCTAGCTGCCTGGCTGGCTGTTTGGTTGGCGAGGGTATGTTCGAGGATAGAAGGTGAAATAAGGGGCTGAAAATGTCCTTTCACGGATGATATATTTTCCTGAGTACCCGAAAGTGTGGAATACGAGTTTGAAAAAATAAAGAATTTAAAGAGAGAGAAAGCGAGAGAGAGAGAGAGAGAGAGAAAGAGAAGAAAAAGAAATTATTATTATTTTTGGGAAAAAAATATTAAAAATTTTAAATTAAATTTTTATTTAATTTTTATCAAAGTTTTTCCTATGATCTTCTTAATTTTTCACTTTTTTTTTCTCTTTTTATCCTTGAATCGTTTTGAAAATTAATCAAATATCCTTCGTTAATATTTTTAACTCATTATTCCAAATAGAAAATTATTTTTAACAATTTCTCATCGTATTAATATTCTATATGAAAAGGTCTGACATATAATGAAATTTCGTAAACGATATAAAATTAACTTAGGAAGAACAGATATAATCCTCACAAATTTCATATGTATTATCTTGTTTCAAAATGCAACATGGCAAACGTGACGCTTGGAATGCTTTCGGGCCGGCGAACTGATTTGCCGTGGCACTTTGAAACTCGATAAACGGGCTTCGGTTTATCGCAGGAATAATTAATGTCTTAGTATTACCGCAACAACAATATAGACGATAATTTTAAGGATCTTGATCGTATTCTCATCGGATATATAGCTGGTTAACCATAAACGTTGAAAGATTGAACGAGAAATGCCGATTTATTCAGCTTTAAAATGTAATTGAACGTTTCGACATTTACTTCTCGAAGGTAAAAGGGAATTCCACCATTCCTACTAAAGGTAAGGCTCATGTAACCGAAATGTCGGATAATAAGAAGTCTCCTCTTTTCATCCGACCCTCTTGAGTTCGCTTTTACATTTGAAATACGACATACCTGAAAGTAAAAGGAGAAAAAGAAATATCCGTCGAACGAAGTTCCTCGATCTAAGGAGACGAGTATTCCTGTTGGAAAGAGAAAAGAATAAAAAAGAAAAAGAAAAAAAGAAGAAGAAAAAAAAGAGGAGAAGGAAATAAATGAAAAAAAGAAAAAAAAGGAAAAAAAAACTACTTGCTACAAATTTCGAAAGAATATCTACATTAGAATAATTTGTTTGATATAATAATTATTTATCCAGAAATTTAACGTCAAGAGAATGTTTCAATGAATTAAGATTCATTGAATCTCATTCCGTTAATTCCATTAATGACTTTGGATATATCTCGGAGAATTATCGAAAAGACATTTATCGTATTAAACGCGTAAAAAAAAAAAAAAAACCGAGAAAGAGAAAACAGAGACGAGATAGTGAAAACACGTAGACAGGTGGATACAACACATTAAAGTGAATCATAATAGCAAGGCTTGCGTATTCAGTAAAATTCGTTGTGAGTTATTATTTTGTCGTGAGTATACTGGAGGGAGGAAAAAAAAAGAGAAAGAGAGATAGGGAGGTGGGGGTGGGGGTGGGAAAAAAGGGGATGGCAAGGGGAACGTTCTCATTTTGCCGCGGGTGCTGCTAACAAAACAGATTAAATTAGCTCGTTAAGTCGACAACTTTTTCCCATCGCTCAACCGGATGTGGAGCAGCGGCCAGCTATCCAACTAGCCAACGTGTCGGGTACGCACGTTTTTTTGCACGAACGTATGGGACTACCCTCTCTCATTAGCGTGGTGCTTAACACGTTGATTGACATAGATGCCGCCAATGACCGACACTCAACTCTTTCTTCATTTTATTTCAAACAATTTCGAAATGTTTTCTTTCTTCTTTTTCTTTTTTTCTTTCTTTCCTTTTCTTTTTTTTGTTTTTTTTTCTTTTTTTTTTTTAATCCCCCTTAACTAAACCCACGTAACTTTCACTCTCTAGGTTTTAGGTCTTACTTCATTTATTTTTCTTTTATCCCCGCGCCAATGTGTTTGCCACAGTGCAACTTATATTATACACTTGACAGTATTCTATATCATCCTTTTTCTTTTATGTTTTCGTCTCTCTCTCTCTCTCTCTCTCTTTTTTTTCTTTTTTTCTTTTATTTGTTTTTCACTTTTTCTCTTCTTTCCTTTCTTTTATTTTTTTAAACACGAAACAAACATTTTATTACAGAGGGTGAAATCTCTATTCTTAAAAGGAAAAGGTAGAAATAAGAAAAAGCTAAGCCGTGCGTACGATGAGAAAGGGAAAAAAAAAGTCGAATAAAAGAAAGAAGAAACGATTCTCAACTTGAGATATTTCAAGTACATTCTCTATATCTCATATACCTAAGGTAGAGCTCCGTTATATTCCCTATGTGGTAAGCATGTACAAATCATGTGTATCTACAAATATATATATATATACTTATATATATGTATATATATATATATACACACACACACACACACACACACACACACATATATATATATATATATAAATCAACATATGTACATAGAAGGAGACGTATATCCGTCAGGCGTATAATTTATGATAGACGAATCCGCGATGCCACGCGAGGAGACTCGCGACGCTCGCGGCAAGGGAGGTTCGGATTAAGGGGAAGGTTACAGGTGGAAGGAAAAGGGAGGTACGAGAGAGACAGAGAGAGAGAAAGGGGGAAGAGGGTGGACTAGACAACTCATTACCGAGGACTGGCAAACAGAAAACTAGGTTATGCAAGCTCATACGTCATCGGAATTAGAACCGTAGTCCGCCCGCTGTATCTCAAATGTACACTATCGTACGGAACGTGTTCTCCATCTCACCCTCCTACTCACTCACTCACCTACCTCTCTTACCCTCTCTATACTACCCACAAGCGTGTATGAATTTATGTAATGCGCGCGGCTTCTGGATTGCCAGGGAAATACCGTGGATACGTGCGTTTCACAACACTACTGCTTATACTCTCCACCTCTCTCTCTCTCTCTCTCTCTCTCTCTCTCTCTTCCTCATGTTCTCGAGGTTGAAGCTTGCAGTTGCCATAGCGTGGAAGATAATGCAAAAGCACGAATCCGCAATCGATACCTACCGACAATTTCACCTTTCGTCCGAGTCTCGGAATGTTCTACGATCACTTCCTATATATCTCTCTCTCTCTCTCTCTTTGTCTTATTGCTTGTCACCGATAGATACTATCAGAAAGTTCTTGAGACCATTCTGTAATTCAACAAAGAGGGAAAGAAAGAGAGAGAGAGAGAGAGAGAGAGAGGAGTAGAACCCACTCTCTTTAAAAATTAAAATTCAAATTTGTCATTCTTTAAAAAAAAAATCATAATAATCGTAAAAAAGTAATTTGCGAGATTTGTCTTGTATCATAGAAAATTTTTCTTTTGTTTTGTTTTTCTTAAAACAATCGAATTTTTTTCGTTTTTCTTAAGGAATACCAATAAATGGATACGTTCGATAAATGGAAAATTTCGATTATAAAATGTAAAAGTGTAATCGTTAAATTTCTTTGATTATTCGAACGTAGATGACAACGACAATGAGAACGAGCGAGAAGACGTTTTACTTGTCATTTGCACGCTCCTTAGGAAGTTCCTTTAACATCGACGGAAGCTTCAAAGATGGGAGGAAATAGTTTTACTTTGTGCTACTCAAGTACTTACTTACTTTGTGTTTCCTCGTATCATAGGTAATTAAACGTTACTCATACAGTGTACGCGGTTTGACGTAAAACAAGGCAAACTTCTAAGTAAGCAAAGCGAAAGCGTTACGAATTGATCTTCCTCTATCGTCGATACCACATTGAGTCTCTCTCTCTCTCTCTCTCTCTCTCTCTAATCTCTTTGAATGCTTAACATTATCTATTATCTCCTTTCTACTTCCATCTAATCGACCATAGTCCTCTACATCCCTGATGTTTATTTTCCTTAAATTCATTGATCACTTTAATCATTAACGAAGTTCCATATGGAAATAAATAAACAAACGAGCAATAATAAAATAACACAAAAATTTGTCTCCTTTCAATTTGATCGAAAGGTGCATACAAAGATTAAGTAAAGAACGTATTATCATCGTTGATCTTTGTTGATATCTGCCAAGTACACATTGGTGTTTCGTAAAGGCTTTTACCTTACCCTTTATTCCCTCGATTTATCTATAGAGTTTCAGGATTACTCTCTGATAAGATTCCTTCGAGTTTCGATAGCAGTACGCTACAAGACACCAAAGACTTTGAAGCTCAAACCGGAAGTTGCGGGTTCCTCTCCTTGTCGATAATTAGTCGCACGCGAGAAGAGCCAAACCACAGATTCATCCTCCCGAAAACATGGAAAGAGATGGATTGTTCATGAGAGAGAGAGAGAGAGAGAGAGAGAGAGAGATGGAGAATCGATTCGTCTTCACGGAGAACTAATTCGAGAGGATTCTCTGTCATATTCTTCTTCTTTAGGAAATCGAAAATCGATGAAAGGCTCGTTAGCATGGGGGGTCTTCGTGCATGCTCGAAAGAGATCCGTTGGACTTTCTTCTCGCCTCATGAAAGTCCGCTTTAAGGTTTTCCAAGAGTAAGGAGAAGAATGGTAGCTTATGCTTGCTTCCAGTCTATCCCCAGTTGAGGCATCGTCTTCTTCCTTGTCCTGTGACCTGAATTCTCTCCCTCTCCCTCTCATTCTACCTCTATCCATCTCTTTCTCTCTATCTCTGTTTCGTCTACTTTCAACTATATACCCTCCCTCCCTCTTTCTCTCTTTCTCTTCCCATCCTTCGTAATTCGAGAAGCCCTTGGCTCACCCAACAGCTTGTGTCGCCGACGACTGTCACGTTTACCTCGGGCGAGAATAAATGAACGCTTCCATTGAAAAGCTATCTAGCAGTTGGAGAACGGTTTTCCTTGGTTCGTACCATAGTCACCGTCTGCTGGCGGTGGCGGCGAAATCAGAGTTTAATGGGCATAACGTCTGAATGAACCGGCACTATCGGACCAATATATCAGAGACCTGGTGAACCGGCCTGTCGAGCAGGTCGAGGGTGTCGTGAATTCTTGAAAAAGCACCCACGGGGACTCTAGGTCTCTACGAGGAAAATAATTTTGCGTTATCGTTACGGGTAGGGCAAACCTTTTCTCCATTGAACCTTGCGAACAATGTTTCTCGCGACTATCGCCTTTCACTTTTCTCCCTATATCAAATCAACCCCCTAAACTCCCATCCCACGCCCAAAAACCTTTATTTTATCTTCATACGTATAAAACATTCGTAACACTTGTAAACCTTTAGATTTTGTTCATTGTCATTGATGTAAATTAAATTTCTTGAAATTAATGACAATTATTAAGACTATTTCGAGATCGAACAAATTTTTTTTCTTTAACTTTTCGTCAAAACGATTACTTATAAATTTTTCCATTTTCATGATCTTCAAATGAAATGTCATAGTAATTTATTCTTTAGAATAATCTCAATGTGGTTTATCATATAGAAAAACAATCGACGCAAGAAAGTTATTCGATATCTTAAAGCTTTCTTTTTCTTTTTTTATTTTTTTTTTCTTCTTCTCTCTTTTCTCTCGCGACTTGCGAGCGAGATCAGAGTTTAATGGTTATAACGTCTGAATGAGGCGGCGCTATCGAGACGATATATCAGACCTGCTGAACCAGGACTGTCTCCTGACGAACAAACGGACTGGGATTTCATGAAAAAGCACCCACGGGTAAAGTTTCGTCGATTCGACAAAATCATTCGAGCGGGCATCGTCGTCGTCGCCGTTACCCCGTCACGAGAGAATGGCCTTCTTCTACTTCTTCTACATCTACTTCTTCTTGTCCACTTTTATTTCTTCTCTAACCTCCTAGAGAAATTCTATATTATCTTTTAAGTGCTACTAAAGGTTCGCTTTCGTTTCTTTTATACTGAAATTAATGTGAAATTTCGAACAGCGGTCACGTCAAGACGGCTTCTATCGAAATAATGGAGTTTTCGACTCTTTGAAAATGTTAAATGTAGGCTTACCGATGGCTAGGAACCGTAGCTGTTTGAAAACTTTGCCAACTTGCAGTCTCGAAGTATCTAACTACGAAAGTTGGGTCGAGTAGAGCGAGAGAGGAAAAGAGAGAGAGAGAGAGAGAGAGAGAGAGAGAGGAAGAGGGAGAGAAAAAGCAGTGGCAACTGCGACCGGAAGTTTTCATGAAAATTAAATATCGTGCCGAGGGATTTGCGTAATTACGAGGTGATGTGTACTTATGTTAATGGGAAAACTAATGCCTTTGTAAAAGAATCTTTTTCTACTCCTCCCTTCCCCCTCCCCCTCTCCTTTCTTTTATTTCTCCATATTTCTTTCTTTTTTTTTTTTCTTTTTTCTTTTTACAAAGAATTCATATTCAATACGATTTAATGTAAAACGATTATCGAACGTGTTTAACTCCAAGCAAATCACTTTGATATTGTTATGAATCATGAATTTGATTTCTTCGTCATTCGAATTCGCCACGAGTAAAGTAATTTATTGTCGATCATAAAAATTTCATCAGATATGATAATGATCTTAAATGATCTAGAATGAAAATATTAAGGCAATTTGTACAATTCGTATCCATTCGAACAAATATCACATATAGAATATGTATAATGTCTATATATATATATATATATATACATATATACAAACAAATAAGACATTGAGTTTGCTGACGTAACCTTATTAGTTAAAGATAGGAACAAGGAAACATACGATTTGCCGTACGTTATTAGAAGTGATTTTCCCTTAACGAGAGCACGGAAAGTGTAATTTCTGGTTGAGAGAGGTGTCTGACAGCTGGCGTGGTTGAAAGCGTGTTACGAGCTTCCAGCAAGGGAGACTTTGAACTTCCGTTCCGAGCATCCTGCAGTCACGAGAACGTAACGCCCGCCTAATTAAGACTAAATACATAATTAGAGTGTTAGTCACGTGCGGTTGCCGGGCACACGTTGCAATCGAACGGTCAGCTCTCTATATATCTATATCTATATATCTCTCTCTTTCTCTCTCTTTCCTTCTCTCTTTCTCTCTCTCTTTCTCTCTTTCTCTCTTTCTCTCTTCAAGAATTTCTACGAGAGAAACACGTATCGTACGGTCAGCATCTTTGGATTTTAAGTTGCATCGAACGCTTAATCGAACTTCCAGCTCATTCGGCTTTTATTAAACCTTCTTACGACACACATAAGCCCGTAATTTTTTCCAAAGTTCAACCGCAATGACCTCCCAGTTAAAAAATTTTGCTGACAGTTATCCTCGTATGTATACATTCCTTAACGAACAATTGAAACAATAAACAATAAACAATGAAGTTTTATACAAAAGAAAGCATAAGTTACATGTTGAAGATTTATTAGCGACGTCGTTAACGTTTAATAATGTCACTCCGATGAGCAAAGAAAAAAAAAAAAAAGAAAAAAAAAACAGAATAAAAGGAACTTTCACGTGGCAAAACATTTTATATTTCGAATCATTAATTAATACTAATATAACACGATATCGAAGATAATGCAAAGGATAAATAGCATCCATTCTTTCATAAATTAGAAGATATAAAATCGATAATTCATAAAGTTCGTTATTAAATCAAAAACAGAATCAGATCGTCGATGAGTAATCGAGAACTTTGCTTTCGAATTTGTTAAATTGGCTAATTGAGTTACTCAAATTTTGTACATTATTTTTCATTATTTTTAATTTTCCTTTGTGTTAAAAAAGAAAAAAAAGAGAGAGAGAGAGAGAGAGAGAGAGAGAGAGAGAGAGAAAGAAAATGAGGTGGAAAGAGAAGGATCGCAATGAAACGAGATAGAAAGAAAATGTATCCAGCAGGAATTTTGAACGAACGATCGATTCGAATTGAGGAAACTGCAAGCCAGCGGCGCCGGTACACGCCGCGGAATTCACTTAAGAGCTATGCAAGCTGCATTTAGTTAGCGCATTCGAAACTATCCCCTCTTTCTCTCTCTCTCTCTCTCTTTCTCTCTCTCTCTCTTTACTCCTCCTCTACTAGCCTCATACGCTTGGGCGCTACATTCATGTTCCTAGAGTTATGCGCTTCGCATGTTCGCCACTACAAGATCGCAAAGGTTCTGTCTAATTTGCTTTTCCGCGAATTCCTTTAATCCCGTCCCTTTCCATAGCGACACGAAACTCTTGATTAAGCGTTCAAACGGAAATTATTCTCATTTTCTCTTCTTCGTTCTTTGCTTTTTTTCTCTCTCTCTCTCTGTCTCTCTCTCTCTCTCTCTCTCTCTCTCTCTCTCTGTTCACTTTTTTCTTTTTTTTTTTTTTTTCGTTTTTTTTCCTTCCTTTTTCTCTCTCCTTTTTGTTCATTTTTTCCTGGCCAGAAAATATGGACGAAGTTTTTTGAAACTTCTTCAAAGATTATGAAACTTCTACGATAACCAACGACCTTTATTCTCTTATTTAGATTTTGTTAGATCGATAGAAAAGAAAGCTTTTTTTCTTTTCTCTTTTCATTTCTCTCATCTTTCCTTTGCTAACATAAATACATATATCATAATAATTAAAAGATATCTCGACAAAGTGATTAACTATTGATTAGAAACTTAACGAATATGATTTTTCAATGATATCAAATCTGTATGCTAGGTATATCACAGGATAAACTAAATCTCCTTGATGGCGAGACATCGTATATAAATCAAGTATACAGGAGCAGCAAGGTACACGTAATTGAATCAATTATTCCTCGTGTCTGCAGTAACTGTCGTCTTATGATAACGTATACTACCAGCCAATGTTAATCCTTCTGACTGTGTTTAATCGATGACTTGGAAAATATCATTCCTGTCTAATTATTATTATCAAATCAAAGGCTATCGTATATATTTATCAATTTGAAAAGTTGATTTAAAAATTAATAATGATCGTATAAAAGTCCTTATTTAATATATTCATTTCTCGAAGATGCACGCATCGATGGTTACTGAGCAATTTCTAATATATCCACTGTGCAACGCATATTAAGCACAAGCGTAATTAGTATAATTACCGTTATTGGTCACATCGGTAAGCTATATACAGCGCGTTACGACCGCAAATTAATTGCGCTCAACCCCTCTGCCACTAAGCGACGCAGTCAGGCAATAATTGGCAACTTTCGGTGTAATGTTTGCGGTTTAATAGTCAGTCACGCATCGTACTTGTATCTCGGATTTCTCATTGTTACTCTTCCGTCTATTTATATCGAAACAACGTCGTCGTTTATTCGTAAGATTAGATTTTAAGATATTTCTTATCGATTATATTTCAGATAAAAAAAAAGAAAAGAAATCAAACGAAATCTTTCATTATTGTTATCAACGATATTTGGCATGGTACATCATATTATCAAATATTATTTTACATACAAATTATATGTGAAATATTCCATGTAAAGTTAGTATTAATCTAACACGCTTCATTGTCGTGTAAAGTAGTTATTCACTCGAATTCTTTTATCGATTCACACGAATACTTTTGAAAGTCCGATGAGGAAAAGAGACTCGAAGGTGTGGTAAAAGTCGTGAAACAATGAGATCGAAAGAAAAGCATTATAAATCACTGTTTTTTCAAGCGAATGAAATGCGATAGTCAGCTCTATAATAGTACATTGGATATAAAGGACTCCACCCAGTTACACGATTACATGTTCTCACGAACCTTGTCGTCGTCGTCGTCGTCGTCATCGTCGTCGTCGTTGTCGTCGTGTCGTTGTCGTCGTTGTCGTTGTCGTCGCCGTCTTTGGTCCACGACAGTAATCATAATAAGCTTGGTTATATCTCGTAAATTCTAACATTAATAAATAATAACGACGTTATTACGTCGTAACTCGGGACGCGTATTTACGTATGCAAAGCATGCGTGTTTTATATGAAAAGAAAAAATAAGACGAAAAAATTTTTAAAAGAAAAAAAAAAAGGAAAAAAAATACATGACTCGAGAAATCCATTAATCACTATAAACTAGAAACGTTTATTTCAATATATCACGAGGTTCATAGGGAGAAGAGTGACTAAGTGAATTTAAGGTGGTTTTCAAATTAAATGCGAGTATGACCAAAGACCAACAACGAGACACACGCACACTTCTACCGGTTTTCTATACGAGATAGCCTGCTACTTTCCTGACGAGAACGAATTTCGAGGTGAGCTGTGGCTCTCCTCGTCGTTGGTGGATTTTGCGCAGTATTTCGTCGAGTTTCCGTGTTTCACTGAATCAACCGGTAGCACGTTTTATCTAACATCCTTGCTGCATTCATCAACAGAATATTAGCGAACGTTATGGCTGAGAAAACTAAACTAGGAACCAAGGAAAAAGTGAAGAATATAAACTCAAACTAGTGCGAACGAATTAACTATGTTATGTTATATTTCATTCGTCTTAGAAATATTTTCCTATATTTATATATATATATATATATATATATATATATATATATATATATATACATATGTACAACTGATACGTACAATTATACTTAAATCATACGTTTCAATGTATTATATCACGAATACTTTCGATACTCGCATTTTATCTTCTTATTTGGAAAATTAAGAATGACATTCTCATGGACCTCTTCCGTAATTAAAATTCTCCATTCGTCAATATCCTTCATAATGTTAATATAATAATAGACCGGAGAAAGAATGTGAAGCTTTTGTATCGTAAAAAGTTTTTGCATCGTAAAATTACTTGAAATTTTTTTAACTTAAATTCAAGGACATTATTTTCCCACTTACTTCTTTTTTTGGCTCTATTTAACTGTAATATAATCGTGAGTTTATGAAACTTTACAAAAAAAAAAAAAAGAAAAAAAAAAAAAAAAAAAAAAAAAAACAAACAAACAAAAAAGAAACAAAAAAAAAATAAAGAAAGAAGAAAAAAATAACCTAAATATGTATGTTAAAAAAGAAAGAGAATAAATTATCGACTTGTAGAAAAAAAACACAGATATAGGTAACTAATGCGAAAGTGTAACGCAGGTAACGTGATACGAAGCCGTCAAACGACGAGCTACGATAACGTGGTCGGAATTATAAATAGCGCATAGTCACGGTTTTTCGTGCAAACCCGGCTGAGTAAGTATGCCATCTAGGAAACGCGACAGTTACATTGATATTCGCTGATAAGCCGTGTGGAAGCGCGTAAAACATGATAAAATTTATCGCGGTCGCGAACGAGAGAAACGTGGAAAATCAAAATTCGCGGCTCGTCTCTCGTCATCGCAAAATTATGATATGATGGGGCCACTTGCACGCTAGAATAAACGTCCATATACAAAACTTCGAATGGATGGCTTTAAAAATAAATGATATTGATAATAATAATAATAATTATAAATATAATAATCATAATAATAATAATAATAATAATAATAATAATAATAATAATTTTCAAGCTGTTCAACGATAAAGCAATTAGATCATATCTTTATAGCTTATATTATATACGTATTTTTTATATATAAATACGTGTAGCTTTTTCCCTTAATTCAAATCAAACTCTCTCGATCTCGGAGATAATCGTAATACGCTTTTACAAATTAGAACTCACAAGTATTCAAAGTTTAAAATTGATCTATTTTATAATCGTTATAATTCATATCACATCGTAATTAATTTTTATCCCTTTCGATATGTCGATCGTGTCGAAGAGCTTTAATTAGAAAAAAAGAAATAATATAGATTAGATCTGTTTTATGTCAACGACCAAAATACATACACTATCATTAAGGCGATCATTATCGAATTATTCCTGTGTACATTAACGCTTGCGGGTCGTCAATCAAACATGAATCGGTAATGTTATGAGGGACAATTTCACATGAATTAATACGAAGGGAATGGACATTGAGATTATAGTTGGTTCGACAACCAGCATGAATTCGTTTCTTTTATGAATAAATCAATAGAGAAAGAAAATATAATAGTACAAATGAATATAATACTATTATGATTCATTCAACTTTACACTTATTTATAAGACATTTTCTTATAGTATTAATATAAAATAAATCATTGATTTTATTCATTTCTATCATTATTGTTTCTAACACGATTACTTATATAATATAAATTTTTATATCACTTGATGCTACAAAGAGGAACGAGAAAGATCACAAAAAAAAAAAAATAAAAAAAAAAGGAAACGAAAAGAAACAAGATAAACCTATAGAAAAAATCGAACAAGAGAAACGTAAGCGACGTTGGAAGTTAGTTAAAAAAGTGTATGAAGCATGTCTCTATCTTTCTCTCTCCCTCTCGTTTTTTTCATTTTCAGACAAGCTAGAAACGTGATATCGGCTGGACCGAAGCAACGCGAATAAGTGCGTAGGCAAGGTTGTAGAGCCTAGGTCCAATATGCGGGAACGTGCTAGTGGTTCCACGAGCGATGTGATTACCCCGTGCGATATCCAATCCTATTGAAGCTTCGAACGGTGGCCCCTTTACATTGGATCTCTTTCCCTCACACATACATACACACGCACACACACATTGTCCCTCTCTCATTCACATACACACATACACACGCTGGTTCACAATCTCACTCTTGTACGTTCATTCCACTTGGTCTCCTTCCCTTTTACAATTCGCCAACCACTCGTTCTCTCTTGGTGCAACGGTCAGCCACATTTTAGCTGGCTACGATACAAGTACGCACTTCTATACGTATGTGTGATCACGAAGAGACAGACAGAAAGTGAGAAAGAGAAAGAAAAAGAGAGAGAGAGAGAGAGAGAGAGAGGGAGAGAGAAAAAGTGAAAAAATATGTCGTAAAATACACACATACACAAAGTCGATACTATACGCGTTAGTCATCGACTATATAGAGAAATTCGTCGGTTTTACCACCGACGATCCTAAAACTCCATACGTAAAGTATTGAATGTGATCAGTGTGAAAGTGAAGGTGAGCCACCCCATCACTAGCAAGCTTTCGTTGAACTTTCGTGAACCATTCGGCCGGCGCAAGAGAAAGCACCAATTCACGGTATACTCGATGCATTTCGTTCGGCAACACTCGCAAACGTATAGCAAATGAATCGACGTAGTCAAAGCTACGGTCCAATCGTAAACCGCGAGAAACTCGGAACTTTGTCTATGTGTTCGCTCAGTTCGTTATGACTGGCAAGTGGAAGAACAGGTTGAAGGTTTCGTAGAAATGTAGAAACAATTATCACTTAGGTGTTAGTGCAAACCCGTCACATTATCGGAGAGTTAATACTAATCCGATAATCGTGTCGAACTATCGAATCCAATCGCTCCAGGCAAGTTGTTACTAGTTCCGATGATCTCGTTAAAGAGATCCGAGATAAACGCTTTTCGAATTTGCTCTTAAGACCGATCATTTCTTTCTTTCTTTCTTTCTTTCTTTCTTTCTTTCTTTCTTTCTTTCTTACTACTTACTAGAAAATACGTGAAACGTAGAAGATCTTAGAGATAACGACATTTCTTAAATATTTTTAATATCTAATTAAGAGCTTTTCATTTACGGTAAGATTCCTTCAAACTCAAACGATGATAGATATTCCTTCTCTTTGTAATCTTCCTATCTACTAGACGAATCGATACTCTTATTCATTTTTAACTATCTTCATTCCATTACCTTCACGTTTGTTAATATAAATTATTAAAATTAAAAAAGAAAAGAAAAGAAATGTTCAAAAAATATCTATATACAATATTGACACCAGAAACAGTATATTATTAATTCGTTTGAAAAGTTTTGGAAATTTTTCAATCTGGAATATATATAATAATTTCCTCGAGTACTTCGGTAGTATTATTAAATATGTGAACTTCACGATGAGGTTAAAATTCACGTATCTAATATTTGTATTCACGATTGTTACTTTATTATGAAAAAAAAAAAGTCATTTGCATGACGTACGTGAATGAAAATATATTTTTTTCCTTTGCTTGATTTTTTCTTTTTCTTTTTTTTTTTTTTTTTTTCGCTGCATGTATCATCCTTAATGTAATTAATAGCCTGGACAATTACTTGAAACCTTCAAATCAAACGAAAATAGAAAAACTCAGAGAAAAGGCACTTCACTTATGAATGGTTACTTGCTTTCTATTTTTATGGACGTCGGACAACAACGACGACGAAATTGATACAATCGGAGGAAGCAACTCGTTTTTGCAAGCTCGACATCTTTCTCGTTGTCGTCGTTGTCGTCGTTGTCGTCGTTGTCGTCGTTGTCGTCGTTGTCGTCGAAAATGTGTTTTCCTTGCTCGCGTATTACGTTGTAATAAGAACACATAAGAGAAAGAGGAAGAAAAAGATAAAAAGAGAGTGAGAGAGAACGAGAGAGAGAGAAAAAAAATAAATTGGAAATATATACATGAAAATAAGACTTACACAAATAATACCACCTTCGATTCTTTATTATTTTTTTTTTTCTATTTAAATAATGAACTGACCTATGAAATATAAAATCGATTATCGGGAAGCAGGAAACAGGCTAACAAGAAATATCCAAAAGTTTTTTTATATGCGTACGAATTGACTTTTTGATATTTTCTCATCACTTAAAACAAAATCGATATTGTATAAAAATAACATTATAAATGGAGCGATCGATCTTCCTCTTTCTTATTTATATAAGACTATAATTCTCAAATTTATATTCGATATTTATAATCGATTACATCCTGTAAGACAACGAAGGTATTTACTTATTTACATTCCTCTTGAATTCTTTTCTGTTCGATTTGAAAATAATTTCATTGAAAAAAAAAAAAAAAATAAAAAGAGAAAAAAAGAAAAAAGAATCTCCATTAAGTTCTCTTCGCGAGTGTTCCTTCCAAACTGATTGTGAATCTAATTGATGAGACACAATTCGTCTTTTATAATCCATCTACCCAATGAAATTCTCACTGATTATGAAATATGCGGTTTTTCGGGGTTAATAAGCTCCTTTTGGCCAGAGATTGAATTCAACACGAGTGAATAATTCCGACAAGCAAATAGGAAAACAAAAACATAGGGGCATCCTTGAGTACATTCATATATGGATCATATGTACTTACATGTACTTATACATATACATACATACATATATCTGGATAAAGTACAACAACTGTTTCTATGAATTCGCTTTCATACACATAAACATATATATATATATATATATATATATATATATATATATCGGTGTATTTACGTACACGTATATGCGTCTATAGAAATATAATATGAACGCGTGCCTCTATACGTGCACCTATAGGTGCAGGTGAAACATGAAAGAGAGAAAGAGAAAGAGTGGGAGAGGACTCGATATAAGCAGCAAGCGCTCGTAAATTGCGAAATATAAATAGAGAAACGTGCAGTATCGTATAGTATATTGCGGAGATATAGAAAGAAAGAAAGAGAGAGAGAGAGAGAGAGAGAGAGAGATAAAGATAAAGAGAGAAAGAGAGAAAGAGAGAGAGCGAGAGAGAGAGAGAGAGATAAAAGAAGAGAAACAGAGTAAGCGAAAAAATGGTTGGAAAAGAAGAAGGAGAAGAAGAAAATGAAAAAAAAAAAAGAACCCTGAAAGGGGGTAAAGAAGAGAAAGA